AAGTTAACACACACCAAAATAAACAAACACATGAGAACACTGCAAATATCTCAACACCTCTTTCATTCCTCAGACATAACAGTAATATAGAATAAAAGCAAGGGAGCTGGAGATGTTTCCCTTCAAGCACGTAATCTTCAGAAAAAAATATTCACAGAAGATTATATTAATTATATCTAAGATGCTCAAAATTGAAGAGAGCTGCTGGGTATTAATGACTTGAGTTATTTATACTGAAAACAATTTTCCAAAATCTTTTCAAAGGTCAGCAACATTATTTTAAATACCAGAACTCCACAATAGTCATCACAAAGGTGCAGAAAACCTGTTCAACTTTTTCACAAGTTAATTGCACTAAGAGATCTTTTAGAGGCCTTTTTTTTTTTTTTTTTTTTTTTTTTTTTTTTTAACTACAGAATTATTTTTGAACATGCCGGTTCTACCACTCAAACCTGAACAAAAACTGCTATCTTAAAGCGGCTTGTGTGGGCTACATTTATTGAATGTTATTTTGAGTGGAATGTAATATGACTGGATGCTCACAAACATTCATCCTGAGGATGCAAAGGGAAGTAACTTTTCTCTTCTTAAAAGATCACAAAAAGTATTACCAAGTTTTTAAATAACTCAGCAGCATAATCAAAAATGTCTTATAAGCAAAAGGACTATGAGCAACGTAGGCATTCCTTAGCCAAAAAGTTTAATTTGCAAAAACATTCTTATTTTAGAATCCTGTCCACTAGTCTTTTGCTCTTATTTAATTCTTCTAAAGCACAGTTTATACCATCCATCAATTTCCCTCACAACTTCTTATTTTTTCCTGATTATCTTTCTCGACTATTGTACGGAGCACAGGATATAAGGCTGCTTACACTTCACTCACTGCCAAGATTTTATCAAAAAGAAAGCGATGACCTTCCACAGACTTTATGAAGAAAAAAAGGTGAAAACCCGATCCCTCCATGTTTTTCCACAGTCACCCTTACATCTTTTACCATCAGGAAAAATTATACAACTGGGTATTTTACATTTTTTTCTTTAAAACAGGGCCAGCATTGTCACTTACGATGTCTGTACAGCAAAAGGCTATCTAGCATATGTATTTTACTTCTGCAGACAAGCTTGTTTGCAAACTTATCCCAGCATTATGAAAATTATGGTTACAGAAGACATCTGTATAACATATGCAGCATAAAATAAATCATCTATTTTGGGAATTAATAGCAAATATAGTATCTTAAGATAACATTGGATTAATTGCAACCTTTCCTTACAACTAATTTTATTTAAAGCAATACTCTCTCTCTCTCTCTCTCTCTCTCTCTCTCTCTCTCTCTATATATATATATATATATATACATACACACATAAAGCTTGCCCTTTTTAAGAGAAAATAAAAAAGCTAATGAGGTAAAGTTACTCCGAGAAGATATTTTAGTTATTAAGCTTCACAGAAAAGGTAAGTCACCAAACAGGAACAAATTGATTTTGTCAGAGTCAGGACTTGTGCATAAAATATTTTTTTAAAGGAAATAGGGCACAGAATTAGCCTTTTACAGGAGCTTTTGCTCTGTATTTTAAGATGCTTGTATCACCAGTATAACTACAATGTATAATGTAAGTTTCATTATGTACTTGCTTAAAATAAAGCAAACTAAGGTACAAACACTGAGCGGGACAGCACTTGGAACTTCCTGAGTAGAATTTTTTGTATCTGTTGTGTATCCTAAAGTAACTTCAAACATATGCATACATCACCAAAATAAGAATGAAGAAAATATTAACAATCATTTCCTGCAAACCAAAATATATGTTTTTACTAACAAGCATGTTTAAGTGGAAAGTAGAACACCACCTTTTCCAAAAATTCTTAAGTGTAGTTTATATCTTAACCAATTTGATAACTAAAATGAATATGAAAATTGAAAACGATGTTTTAATAGCTACTCATGATCAATGACTTGGAAACAAACTTTCAACTTCATATACCGCCTAGCGAGCTAACATTTGGCTGGCGGAAAACATTCACTTCTCAAAATGTAATTGCTAAACTTGAATCCCCATTCATCTGTTTCAAGATGTACTCTCTACAATCACTTATTTCAGAACAGAAACAAAGATGTCTTAACCCTTTTCTCTTTTCCTTTATTATATTTCAAATGATGAAAACAGAACACATTTAATTAGCAAAACAATTTTAAAAGTTAGATTTAGATTACGTGTATGTCTGTGTGTGTGTGCGCACATGTGCCCTATATTGACACATTAATTTCAAGTTATGCTAATGTAATATTTCATCACTGAACATAGACCTCCTTTTTTGTTGTTACTCTCTGAGTGTTTTATAGGTCTTTTTGAATTAACAGCCAGAATACTGTTATAATGCAGTAAGCTAAGAGAGGTGGCAAATATACCTGACAAAACTACAGAATAAGGATTCTGTAGTGCTACATTCTAGTTTAGGGACAAATTACTACTTTCAAGACAAATTTCTTTGCTCCTGAGAATCACCTACACCTGTCCTCTAGCACAAGGTAGAAGAGACACAAGTATAATTCAACTAATCTAAAAATCAGAGATGGACAAAATGATTTTTACAAAAAATGCACTGAACTGGTAAAAATAGAGATACTAAATTTACTTTACAAATAACAAGATTAAATGGATTTTAATATGTAGGTAGCCAGCAAGTATTGGCAAACCAAACTGTTGGACTTAAACAAATTCATTATCAGCAGGTGCATAATTCATTATTCTTTTTAAAACATTTGCAGTTTTTTATTTAAAGAGGAGAAAAAAATAGGTGGCAAGGTCCACAACTCTATGCTATTAAAAAGTAAATAATTTTAGCACACATTTGGAAAAACATCAGCGTTGGCAATCTTTTCAGCTGTTGGCTAAACAACTGCAAATAAATATCTTTGCCAAAAACAGAATAAAATGTCTAATTAAAAAATGTGCAACCAGAAAATAACCTATTCACTAACGTATTTTAAGATGATAGTTCAAATAAATATAGCAAAGACTGCAGCTGTATCTAATCAGGGGTGCAATCAGGTTTGCAGTCCCAAGTTCCTTCAGAGCCTGCAAGCTGCCTTTAATGCTTTAGTACATAACAAGTCTGTCCCTACTCTGATAGTCCACAAAAACTCAGGGTTTGCAATGGAAGTTGATGCACTAGCAAACACTTCTTTACTGTTTTGACCAAGTACTTCTTCCACAAGCTGCAGTTTCAATAGCTAATACCTTGCTGGCATAAGTGGAACTGCCTGACTTCACACTGAAAGGAAATACAGGAGATGCTCACTAAGCTGTCACCATTGAGGTGGACAGTCCTTGTCCTCTTTGAAAACTTCCAAATGCAAGAGCTGCCTAAGATGTGATGTTTCTCTTCTAATTATGGACTGTACAAAACATCACTCCTCTAACATCTCCTTTTCACTTTAAAGAGCAGTAGGGTTCATATGTTCAAGCGCAGGAGCAGAGAACTTCTGCTCCTTCAACTACAACACAGGTAGACAGGTTTTTCCTGTAATCATCACATGCAAATATAACAGATAGAAGGTATTAGCACAATCTTGCCATATACAGTGCTATAGTCAAACATTAAGGGACTTGATAGTAGATTTTAGACTCATTCATTCATTTTACTAAAATCTGTTTCCTGCCATCGAATATTCAACTGTAGTTGAATTTTATAGTCCAGTTGTAAACCCACCACCAATATGCCTGCTAAACTGTGTCCCTAAGTGCCTCATCATCAGCTTCTTGAACACTGCCAGCAATGATGACTCCACCACTTCCCTAGGTAGCCTGGTCCAATGCTTTACTACTCTTTCCATGTAGAAATTCTTATCAATGTCTAACCTGAAGCTCCCCTGGTGCAACTTGAGGCCATTTCCTCTTGTCCTACCAGTAGTTATTCTGGAGAAGAGATCAACCCTCACTTCAATCAATACAGTCTCCTTTTACAAAGCTGTGGAGCGCAGTAAGATCTCCCTAGAGCTTCCTCTTCTGCAGACTAAATGACCTCAGCTCCCTCAGCTATTCCTCATAAGGTCTGTGCTCCAGCCTCTTCCCCAGCTTTGTTGCCCTTCGGGCACAGTCTGGCGCCACAGTGTCTTTATCGTAGTGAGGGTTCCAAAACTGTACACAGGAGCCGAAGTGCAACCTCAACAGTGCCGAGTACAGGAGGACAATCACTTCCCTAGTCCTGCTGCCTACCCTGTTCCTGATACAAGCCAGGAGGCTGTTGGTCTTCTTGGCCACCTGGGCACACTGCTGGCTCATGTTCAGCTGCCTGTGGACCAACAACCTCAGATCCTTCTCTGCCACACAGCTCTACAGCTGCTCTGTCCCAAGCTTGTAGTGCTGCATAGGGGTGTTGTGACCAAAGAGCAGGACTCAGCACTTGGCCTTGTTGAAACTTATACAAGTGTCCTCAGCCCATAGACCCAGCCTGTCCAGATCCCTCTGCACAGCCTTCCTACCCTCAAGCATATCAGCTCTTCCTCCTAGCTTGGTGTTGTCTGCAAATTTTCAACATTGTCATCCTAAAAAATATCTAAATATATAGAAAATATAAAAGCAATATTTTTAAGATACAAATACTTAAAATTTAAATTGAGAATATTAACATATAATAAAAGGCTATTCAAACTCATGCTCTCTCTTGAAGATATAAAAGCTGCAGATGTGCTAAATCTTTAAAACATATATCAGGTAGATACTGAGACAGCTTACCTTCAGTGCACACATATTAAAACTCTGGCCCAAGGCTGAAAAAAGCTTGCTGCAGAGTCTGCACGTTTAAGGCATTCTTAGGCTCTTTCAATAATGAGTATTAACATTAGAACATAAATAATTGAAGCATTTTGCTTTAGTTTACTATCCCTTTCAAAATGCTAGATGTTTGTGCAAAGATCTAAAATTCATTTACAACCAAAATGGAAAAAAAACCCTATTTTCTATATAGAGAAAAGAAGATAACCGATACTAACCTTCAGGATCAAGAAGTTTTTCTATCCCCAAGTGTTGTCTGGCTACATTGAATGCGTGGTCTAATCGCTGTATAGGTGACTGTTGAGAAGCAACAGCATTCCAGTCAAATAGGTCTGGTCTAAAGCAAACATAAAAGGAACAGTCAATTTCTTTTTTTTTTTTTTTTTTTTTTTTTACAGCACACAATTAGATATAATTATTTATTTTTACCACCGTCCTTTAGAATCCGTGACTACTATTTTCTATAAACAAAGAACTTGCTTGATCAACACTGGGAATGAAGAAGTTGGTATCTAATGAATCCTGTATTCTTCCATATCCAACACTAGCACATGAAGCAGGACAGGGAACTGCTAAGCTCATTTTTCTGCCTTCCTTTGCTCTCCAGCCAGTAGGTTTTCAACATGGTCCTTAAGAATGTTATTGCTGCCGGGGTTTCCAGCTCTCACATCTGAATGAAATTTGTCAACACGTTCCAAAAGTTACAACTGGGAGACATATGTAAACACAGGAAAACCTTCTGAGAAAGGCACACTTTTCAGATGAGTCTGAAAGTGTAGTACCATCATAGGTTTTAACTGACATGAGTAAAAGCTTAGGCACAATTTAAATACTTCAATAGGAAAAGGCCAAGCCAACAAAATGGAATTACAGCCCAGACATACAATCTGAGCCTTAGCTTTATCACTTGTATTATTTACATTGTAAATGATGTTAAAAGACACTATGATTGTGAGCTTCTCAGCTAATATTTATCCATTAAGAAATCAGAATTTGTTATCAGGCATTTGGGGAAAGAAAATTTTAATCAAGTATTCTGTAATGTGCACATAATAATATGAAGGAAAAGAACTACACTATGCGATTTGGACACTGTTCTAAATCAAAAAGCACTTAAATATGTAATTTTACTTAGAGATAAATCAAGTATGTTATCTACATACTTAATTAAAATGCTGTAATTAGTTATGAAGGATTTACTTACATTTTTAGCAATTTTAAAAGTTCATTTTAAACACTGTCTCCCACAGTTACAATTGATGGCAAAAAACGTTGACTGCATCATACTGCAATAACTTCAAGAGAGCAAAGTAAAAATGCTATATGTGGTAGTAATTTTCCAGTTGCCAACCTTTGCTCTCTGTTTTCTTCTGAAGAGGAGAGATTTACGTAGTAAAAATAAAGTTATAACCATTCTGCTTCTCTGTGCAGAGTTTCTTAATTAAGAGTAGCAGTACTGCCCTTAGTTTCTCCTTGCTGTATGCAAAAAGACATCAAAATATTATTTTTTCCTGGGAGCAGGAAGGGGAAGGCAGAGAAAACTTAAAAGGTGATTAGCTTGTTTTCTAGTAATAAGTACTCTAGTTTCACAGATGATGGTTTTTATATTAAAATACAGGCATTTTCAAGATATGGATTATATCTATACATTTTATTTCCTTCTGCCTACATCTTACTCCACAGGTATATGCAAATTTTTTCTTTCTTTATTCTCTCCAAATGTAATACTTTGGCTTGCATATAGCACAGAATGCATAAGCTCATAAAATAAATTAACCAAGGGAACATTACAATAACCATAGAGCTGTATTGTGACTTCTTCAAAACTTTACAGGGAAGTCTTGCTCAAGAAAAATGTATATAGACAATGATTTGAAAAGAAAGACACAAAGTTTATAGGCAAGCAAAGACAGAATTTGAAGAACCTCCTCTCTTCCATAATATTTTTGCAGTGATTTGGTTTGAAATCCTAATCACACATGTCTTGCTTTGAGCAGCACATTAACTATAGAGCATCAAAACAGCCATGGTTGTCTAAGTACTATATATAGGAATATGCTTTCTCCTAACCCTTCCCCTGGGGAAAAGTAGTAATATTAAGTACTATTCATTAAAGGATGGCATGGTATTGTCTTACTCCTCTTGAGAAGCTTTTTATTCCTCTTGAGAAGCTTCAGTATCACTGAATTTCATCTACCTTCTCCATTGCATAATATAGGAAGCAAATCTGAAGTTAATGGGTCCAGGCAAGCCAAAATTATTAGCATCTCATCCCAATATAAGACACACAGAGGACACATTGTCTTTTTTTTTTTTTTTATAAACCTCCAAATACTCTTACATGCAGAAGTTTATGTATGAAAGAAGTTTTGGATAACATGTTTCAAGAACATCTTGGTTGAATTTGCATGCTTAGTAGCTCTGTGACATATGTGTCTGAATACAGCATGCATCACATATACCGCATTTCTCTTTCATACTTATTACAGATGGTAGGAACTGGAATTCTCTGAGATGACTGTAAAAGATAAGTAGTAAGTGCTCTTCAATAAAGTACTAATTGCTTTCTTACAAATTTTCTTCATATTGTAAACATAAAATGAAAAGAGAGTGTCAATTCCAAGCCAACTCAAAAGTATACAGCCATTTACTGCATCTCAGCCCTCAGGTTAGTAACTTAATAAAAAAAAAAAAAAAACAAAAAAAAAAAAAAAAAAAAAAACCAAAAAAAAAAACCAAACCACAGCAAACAAAAACCCACCAACTGATCTGAAAGTTCTCCCTATTCAAATTTTCTCTTTGTTTAAAAAAAATACATTGGTAAATATGTACTCCAGTGATACCATCTCTACAACATCATCAGTATCATCATGGCAGCTTGAAATGGCAGCTTCTCATATGATGTCTCAGACCTGTATTTAAGGGGTGATACTGCCACATACTATGGCGAGAGATTAGAGCATAAAGATTTTAAGGACTGTGGTATGTGGCAAATAGCTTTTAAAAATCCCTGAAACATCAGAACAGAGTTTCAGCTAACAACGGGCTCACTAAAGAGTTTTAAATGCAGGTGTAAGCAGGTGTGAAATAGTAGACAAGAAGAGATATCAAAGGGCATAGCTATTCTTAAACCTTTGATTTGTTCTCTCTCTCTGTATTGTTCAAATGGTACCAAGAGAGAGGAGATTTGTTCTCAAGTCTGCAGTTTGATTCATCTCTGGCAGGAAGGAGAGCTCAGCAGACACAAGCAGCAGAGTTCACTCCAGTTCCTGAGGAGCAGACGCACACGCAAAAGTGTCAGGAGTAGCTGTAACATGTTGAGCTTCAGCAACCCACTAGTTGATTAGCTAAAGCAGCCCTGACCTTGTCGTGGTTTATAACAACACTGCAGACAGAGAACCCAAATTGAAAGTATTAGTGTTTCAAATGGAAACTTTATACTGTAAAAATCAAAAGGTATACTGAGTCTCATGTATTTTTTGTTTTAGCAGTTGTATCCTATAACTAGATAGAAAGTTAAAAAAAAAAACAGCATTTTTTTCTATTACAGTCACATAACCTATGGGGACAGTAGATTAGTCAAGGTGAGACAAGCAAATCTGGAGGAGAACTTTCAAGACAAGAAAATCCAGCTAAGCCTCTAATGCAGGAAATTAAAGTCATGGCTAAGAGCAATCCCAACCACCACAAAAGCAATAGGCCACCATCAGATTTAAAGCAATAAAATAATAAATCTCAGAGGCAGATGATGACCATGCTCAGTAACTCCAAGCAGAATTCTAAGAGAAACTTAGATTATTGAAGGCCTACTCTTATTCTTCCTCAGAAAGCATCTACTAGATCTTTGTCAAAAATGGAAAGCTAATTCTAAACCTATAATAAAAAGAAAGGAGTGCAAATATAGACATTAAGAAAGAAGAAAAGCAGTTCACAAGCAGTGAAGAAAAAAAAAAACAGGATTTCTGAAAGCCTGCTTCTTTAATGACTTTAGATGCGTTCATTCATTCAAATTAGGTTTTTCAATAGAGGCAGGAAATAAATAATTCCTCTCAAATGTGTATGGTAGTGAATCCTGGAGGGGTGATGAATTCTGCTGAGATGTAAAGATCCAAGGAATGTAAGGAAAACCAACTAGAATGAAGCTGGTCAGACATACTGCACACTCAAAACGCTAACCTTGTAACGGTACTAATTTTAAGACATATTTCAATTTCTAGATTAAAGAGGAAAAAAAAAAACAAAATCAGAGGAAATAGGGAGGAAATAAACACTGGCATAATCAGTAAGTTCTCCTCCAGCCTCTCCTTCAGTATATTTCAAAGGAAGAATTTTGAAGGAAGGGAGTGAAATATTTTGAAGGTGCTTTCACACATCACATCACTATTTTGCTATAGTCTTATTGTTTTCATTTTTTTAGTATTTCTTAAATTAAGCTTATCAGAAGCCTTTAAGTATTTAATCTTCATAAGTTTTACATGGCTTTCAGTTAAAAAAAAAATTAAACAATGGTAATTATGAACATTATAAAAAAAAATAGAATCATCCATGGCTAACAGGCCATTTCCTAAAGCAGTTTTAACATGGAGCAAAGGCTATAATGGGCTCCAAAACTCAGAAAAACTTTCCGTAAGTGTAAGTGGAGATAAGCCACATTCACGTCATAAAACTTATTGCCTTCCTTTTAAGAGGAGAGTTGTTTCTTCATCAGTGAACTAGCTCTATCTATACAAGAAAAGCAGCAGCCAGTAACACAAAACAGCATAAAGTTATATTAAAAAAAACCTTTTAATTCTCTCCCCTCCATAATCTGTAACCCTGAATCAGAGACTGCTGCAATGAAGTGCTGAATTCTAAGACAGTCACCTGGTCTAAGTCCAAGGATTTTAAAGAAGCAAGAAGGAAAGGAAGCTAATGAGTGCATCTTGCTCCCACTTCAAAAAAAAAAAAAAAAAAAATTGATTAAAGGGCCGGAAGGAGCTTGAGTAAAGCTAGAGGAAAGACACAGAGATCTTTCTGAGACCCTTATGTAGCAAAAGCACTATCTTAAGTTAACAAGGAAAGGTCTCTGATCTTCAGCCTGAAGTAAGGTCAGTTTCAAGAGCAGCAGGACTGACTTCTCCTTAACACAACAGTTTATTTTTATGATATTCCTTGGAAGCTGATGCCACTACACAGCTGTGGTCCTGTTTATTCAGTACAAAGTAGAGCATACTGCTCACGGAAATGCATCCCAAGCTTATCTTTTTTATTCTGAAAAATTGTGCTTTTAGGCTCACCGACTGGGCTCCTTGCAGCTTTGCTAAGCACCTTGATCTCCACTGCCTCTCACATGTGGTATTAAAAAGAAAGCAATAGCTGTTGAGCATAAATATCCATAGAGAGAAGGTAATTACACAAGTGGGAATATCTACTCAAAGTAGGCTCTTGAAAAATGACCTGAGAAAGGGCATTAGAAATAACTGATCCAAACAAACCTGCCAGCAACAAGCAAGGAATGGCTAGGTTAAAACACTATGTGAGATAATGCTTCCCAGTGAGAGCACTGCTCTTACAGAACATTACGTCTACATATACAGCCATTTATGTAAGTCCCTCACTTTCTTATAATTCCTTCAAAAAAGGCACTGAAAATTTTCATCCACATATGAATATGAATTCCACACTAATCTCTGAGCCTATTAAAATCAAAAGGGAACCATCTATTGCATAAAACATTATTTTTGAGAAGTGAAAATACCACCAATTAAAGGAGAGGGATTGATTTTCTTCTGCTTTACTTTTAAGACTTGTAGCTATTTCATTATTATCAACGTAAAAAGAACTATACTAGATCATACCAGGGGTTCACATAAAGTTGATTAAAATGAATGAAAATAACATTTTCAAGGGGTCTTCTACCTATCAGGAGCTTAGAGAGTTTCTGAGTTGGAGTATTTGTGTTTGTGTAGGTATGCTGTCATGGGACCTCAGCAAAGTTATATTAGAGTTTTCTCCTTCTACATTCCTGAGTTTCTGGCATCTTATCCCTGAATACAGATGACATAGTGCTACCTGAGATGTTTCTTTTGGGTAAGTACCTAAAATATAACAGTGCACAAAAAAAAAAAAAAAAAAAAAGAAAGAAAAAAAAGTATTTTACCATGTGTTTATTGTTTTACAGTGAGATTATTATTGTTTATTGTTTTACAGTGAAATTTAAGTGAGGTGATTATGGTGAATGCAATTTCTATCATGCAGTGTCCAGTATTAAACATTGCATACCATTACTGTGTCTCGGTACTTTTCGGTGAAACGGTAACAACTGAATGCATAAGGAAATGGTATACATAAAAAAAACCCAAAAACCATACACATAATGTAAAATAAGTTGAGGGATTTTTTTGTTAAGATGAGATGGAGAGATGGAATATGCATAGATAGTATCAATTACAGTATTAACATCAAAACCAGGAGATAAATTTATTTCCCATCTTCATCTGTTCTGTCAACTTCCTCTTGATACTCTCCTCTCTTCCTGAGGTAAAAAGAAACTGTCCACAGACAAAACTACTGCAACAAAATTGTAACAGAGGCTATAAACCGATGCTGAACATGAAAGCTGCTTGAAGGATACATCAAAGGTTCAACAAGTACTGTAAACATAGTATACAGTATGTACTGTTATTTAAATTTTACTGGCATTTCCTTCAAAATTACTTGGCATTTTCTCTTGAGAGATGTAAGACAGTTGAGTTTGCAAAGGAACTATTTTATTTCTTTGAAAATACATTAAAACATCACATATAAAAATTTTTCTGCTTACTGTATGCAATGTTTCCTGGAAGTAGGATGTGAATGAAATCTATTTCTAGTAAACTACAATTTAAAAATTTGAGCGCTCAGCTAAAACTTTGGCAGTGGTAATATACAGAAGACACTGTATCATATCCTTTGATATAGTTATATCAAAAAAAAAAAGCTTGAAACATTTTAAAGAAAAAGAAGGAACTAAATAAAAATACTAGTGCTATTTAGATATACAGTAGAACTAACCACATAATGTAGCAAGTGATCTTAACAGGTTAGTACTTGATGTCAAGACCCATTCTTAATATTATAGCATAATAGTATTAGGAAGCACTGTTTCTGTAAGCAAATTAAATAGGACTGAGTTTAGAAAAGAAGGTATCCCTATATTGCATGACATCCATCTTTTGATTGACATCAAAAACAAATTACTTTCATGCTGCTAGGAAACACATGCTAGCACCAAGTTCACCATCTGAGTTCATCATCACACCAGGTTTTCCAGCTATAGCTGACCTTTTTTTCTGACTCCAGAAGGCAACTACGTATAATGAAGACTGGGCACATATGTTGCAACCCGAAGGTCAAAATGCTAGTGTTTCTGGCTAAACTGAAAGCTGATCTCAAAATATGTCAGCATCAAAAGCAGCAGCTACTATTTGCACTAAAGACTGCTTTTCACAGTTAGGTCAGGAAAGTCTGTTAAGAAAGTATGCAAATGCATGAATTGCCTTCTCCCTGTTTAATAAGAAACTCACCTTCTTGTATGAGCTTTCACCTAAAACAAACTGTAAGATGTTGTATGCACAATTGAGAATATGCAATCCTCTTCCAAATTTACCTACCATGAGCCTTAGATGTGTCATTAGTGAATTATTCTACAAACGAGTTACAAATATTTCAAAGAAGTACTTGCAGTGCTTTTGCTCAATTAAAAGCAACCTTTTGATGCGATAAGTGAGCAGTATTACAGATCATACAATATCACTGTTTTGATTCCCCATCTCAGTAGCAGACGAATTAAGTGGTTACTATATATTTACCAAGGTAAAAGTCAATATATCTAAAAATATCATGTTATAATTATGGTCACTGTGTATTTTATCTGCCTGCTAATAAGCTGTGTTATTATATGATTAAGTGGTTGATTTCTCATAGCAACTTATCCCCACAAGCAATCATCATCATGTAATCAGGACAGCTTTGGAGATGCAGCAAGCATTGATGGAGAAGCATGAAGTACTTATACCCTTACGAGCCCAGGTAAGGATGAAGTTTTCCAGGTTAATTCATCCAGCACAGACTGGTATTTCCACTTAGGGCATCAGCCTCAGGATACAGTTTAACATTTTATCTAATATGGTGTAACTGTGGACGCCACAACAAGAAGCAATATTGTTCCTCCCTGCTCTGCCCCATTCTGCTCTTCAGTCCTCATGCCTAAGGCCTAGGTGCATGCTTTCTCAATTTATTCCCTGCAGTGGATCACAGGACTGCAGAGCAATAGAAAGTCCGTCTGACCAGACAGAAAGCTAACTTGCAAGAACATATAAGATAACTATATACTTATATTTTCAGTGGACTACCTTGCCCAAATAACTCCCCTAGTACCATTGTCATTAGTTCCAAGGGGCACAAGGTGAAAGATGCACTGACTGCAATTTTATTTATTTTTATTCTTATTTAGCTCCCCAAACACAGTTACCCCAAAACCTGTATAAGCCCTCACATCAACTTCAAGAGGCGTGTTAGCCCTAGGAGTATTAAAGGACAGTTTATCAGAAAGTTTCATTCATAAACATTTACATCAGCGAGTGACAAATTTTGGAAAGAAATACTTGCAGCTGTTTGCTTTAGACAATATACATATTCCAGTTTCTAAGTCTGTGTTTTAGAAATATTTTACCTGATTTTGAGTATTTAATGCACCTAAATATCAAAACAAAACCAAGATATTGCTTGACTTGAACTGTTATAGAGTAAGCCTCTGTAATCTCTTTCTAAATTTACCTGTTTATCTGTTCTTACCAATTTATTTGTTCAAAAACTCAATTCTTAGTAATAACTTGGATCAGTCCACCTTTCAGGACAATTCCCTTTAAAAGAGGTATCGGAGTTACTGAAATTGAAGAAGATGGATTAGGGGCTTAAAACATTAGAAAATAAATTTTGTTTTAGAACCAGTCGTGGCAGGAACCTTAGCAGTTCAGCCCTGAAGATAGGCTGCCTGCACCTTTTCCTAAAGCCAAGTACATAGAACCAGCAAAAAACTTGGAAACTTTTCTAAATTTATTTTATTATCATTTTTAATAGTATAATCTACAACAAGATCACTTCTGCAGGTGGGATAAAACATGGTTTTTTTTGAGAATTACATGAAAAGTCCAGAAAACTAGCCAACCTTTTCCTGCTGTATTCTTTCAAGGCAAATCCTTTCTTCTAATCCAGCAACTATTAGCACTTTGAATAAACACTACCTTTTCTAGGTTCCTACAGAAAAATCTCCTCTCCCCTGCAGAACAACCTCAAAGGCTTGACTTCAGATCTATTCATCGCTCTTCTCAAAAGCTCCTACACCTGTGTTCCTCCTTCAGACCTTCTGTTTATATACTGAAATACCAGAAAACCATCTGAGCTGAGCACTTCCTGTTGCTCTGTGGGAAAGCTCAGACTCAGAAGGCTGCTGAAAAGTCCACATACAAGAAAACAATAAAACTAAAAAACAGCTAAAATAATCACCCTCAAGTCCTCCTAGAACCCTTTCTTACTAAAATAACGAGAGGCAGTTTTCTTACCTGTGACTGTGGAGGAGAGCATTGAAAGCCAATCCATCAGCCCAGCTACTGGTGAAATTGATAACATTGACCTGTGGGTAGTTCCGAGTTGATTGGCGGACCCAGCTCAGCAGAATCTTTTCACTGTTTGTTTGTTGCAATCCAGCCATGATGTTTTTCATTACATCTTTGACCTACCAGAAGAGAGAGAATTTTAGCAATGATGCTAAATTCATTAAAAGCTGACTCTTCCTTTGACACCCTCAAACTCCAGCTGCCTTAAAGAAAAACTTTCTATGCAATTACAGAGCCTATTTGGTGTCACAGTGTAATGATAGCAGTGAAATCTTCCTTCTTAAAAACAGCTGATGTTGACTTGTTGGTCATCTCTGCTAATGCATTCAGTACATTCATCACTGTGACACATAAAGTGTTCTGTGAAGAAATAGAGAAGGCACATTTACGTTCATTATTTATGGGAACAGAGTGCATTTGAAATAAGCATTTTTTTCTTGTGGTTTTCTTTTTTTTTTCTGGCAAACACATCCTTAGTTATAGAAACTATAGAAAATTATAGAAAAGTTAAGAAAATGATGGAAAGCCATTCTTCTCGTATTGACAGGTTTGAAAAAAATACCAAGGAAAATCAAGTGTGCTCAGAAGACAGTAAATTATGCTTCAAACTTACTCCATATTATTCCAAATTCCTGGAATTTGATCTAGCAGAACCATTGACAGATTTCATAGTAGCTTCATTACTGGCCAAACAGCACCAAAATTTATAGTACTATTTTTCTTTAAAGTGTTCCATTTTAAGTCACTGCTTTCTTAATTTAAACCTTTGCGCCTAGCATCTCTTTTAAAACATTCTGTAAGATAAAATGTAACTACAAACAGAAAGTAGCTCATTCAATATGTCACTTCATTATAATTCTGCACTTGAATTGCTCATCACCGGTTTCAGTGGAAGAACTATATTTAGCACAGAGACAACTTCATGATATGACCATTTTGAAATTGTAAAGACTGTAAGAAACATGCAGAAGCTATTATCTCAAAGGATAATCGACAACAAAAAATTAATTACTGTGATCCAGTAGAAAAATAGCAGATGTCAGTTTATTGTTCAGTATATGTTCCTTGATAGTGCAATAGTAATTAATTAAATCATTTGAGTAATTATTGAATGAAGATAAGAATTACTAAAAGAATTTCTTGTTTTTACATCTAAAATGCACTATACCCAAAAGAATATCAATAGTCTCAATTTTCCTTTTGAGGCTCATACAGAAAGTTAACTCATCATTTTTGACATGAGAGAATAAGTTGATCCTCTACAGAATTCTTGGGACACATCCATGAATTTTTAATCTCTCATTGTGATTTGCACCATTGAAAATGAGTATGAAATACTACAGTTTCTTCTCCCTTACCTGGAGACAGGTAGTGATGAAAATTAGGAAATATACTATTTAGTTTCAAATGTTTTATTTATCTGTGCGAATATCTTAAATGTCTGGTTAATATTTCCAGGAGAAAATATTCTCCTTATAGATAACTCCCACGGTAAATAATTTATATAATTCAGAGAGAAGCTCAGAGGTGAGTCTACTCTATTTCAAGACATGAAAAACTTTCACCACTATGAAAATACAGAATTCTGTTTTCATGAATCCAGGTTTCAAGATTATCATTTAGCATTATCATTCAAACTTAATTCATATGAAAGGCTGAAAAGAAAATACTGAAACAATGACAAGCTGCCCTGAGTTTTATTATTCAGATTTTTATCACATGCATGTGTTTACAAGTGCAGAGTTGTCTGAATACAAGAAGTATTGTATACAAGAAGAACTGTAATATCTGAAAAATATAACACACATTCCTATAAATGGACAGACAGCTGAAGGAAAGCAGAAACTTAAGAGGTAAAAATACAAAAGAATCAGGAAATACAGAAAAGAAAGTTGTAAAAAGATCCCTTCATAGAACAGAGAGGAAGTTAGGTAAAACATCAGAACCCCAAAAGAAGGGCAATTACTGAAAAAAAATGGGTAATTAGAATTCCTTCTGCTTTAAAGAAGTACAAGTCAAAAAGTTTTTTATTTCTATTTCTGAATAAACTGATACAAGCTACCTTAAAATTCCCCTTATTTGATTTAATACTTTGACAATGGATAAAGGGAGATTTACTCTTGTTTTCCTGAGTTTTCTCTGCAGTAGTGAAGACTGTTAAATTTATGATTTTTTGGTTGTATCTCAGCTAATGTTTAAATTACTGTTGTAAAACGGTCTGATCTCATCCTGAAGGCCTCATTGTGTAGGAATTTGATGAAAACCAATGGAAAAATTCTGCCACTGCAACAAGACACCTTGTGCATGCAAGGGCAAGCAGAAAGCTTGCATGGTATGAAGCTCGCATTGCTAAATTAGTTTGCATCACATCTGTTTCACCTGTGATGAAGGCCAAACATTTTACAAGACTGGCATTTTGGCTCAGGTTGCTACCCTTACAGGAGAGGGAGGAAGGAAGGGAGGGAGGGAGGGAAGGAAGGAAGGAAGGAAGGAAGAAAGAAAGAAAGAAAGAAAGAAAGAAAGAAAGAAAGAAAGAAAGAAAGATTCTGGAGAAGTTATTCACAAGGTAAAGGTGTTTTCACCTCATTCAATCAGACAAGAAGCCGACAGCTCCTTGACAGAATGACTAAGCATTTTTTACCTGCAATATTTCAGACTTTCTGACTGTACAGGTTACTTTTTATAGCCATAATCCTCAAAACTCTTTCAAAGGACATTTTAAAGAACTCTTTAAAGAATATTTTTGCAGATGTTCAAGACATCCATCAAAATAAGTGATGCTCTCTGCTCATTGATTCAAGGTGGCTCGAGAGAACTGTGAGGATTTTCTTTCCACCACTATAATACAGGAGAAAATAAAAGGATAATTCCAGTTAAAGCACCAGTTCTGCAACAAGCATGCCTCTAGCCCCAGTGCTTTTAACAGCTCTCCCTGCACAACTGTTGGAAAGCATTTCTCTGAAATACCTGCTTATTATTTTCCCTTTTTCCTGAAGAAAGCCAGGATTTTGGCTGCCATTCTTTTTTTTTTTTTTTTTTTTTTTTACAAAAGATGTTTGTTAAGGTTTTTCTTTCATCCTATCCTTGAAAACAGGATTGTTTTTATTTGGGAAAAAAAAATTTTCACGTGATTTTTAATATAGCTTTTTCCCACTGTTCAGATATTCTTTGTCAAATGTAACAGTTGAGAAATTAATGATTTGTTTTTGTTCAAATGTTAATGAAGTGGCGAAAGGAGGAGTGCAGAACTGCGAGAGAGAGGGCAGCAGCCTCAAAGCAATGGAAGCTGCAATAGCCTCAGTGCCACAAAGAGCTTTGGCAGCAGGTGCTCAACTCGGAGCGGGGATTCAAGTCGAGAGGAACTTTTAATAATAATCTGGAAGCAGGCTAGATAAGAAAGGACAGAATCGCCACGGGGGATGCTGAAAGCCAAGAGATTTCTGGCGCGTAGAGATGAGAGTGGCAAGAAGGCGACAAATCTTGTCTGGTGCAGAAGCCGATGCTTCTTGTGGTCACTGATCCTCCAGGGCTGACATTCCCTCTCTGTCCTGCTCTATCTCATAGCTCCTTCGGAGTGCCTTTCTGCCACCATCTCCTGGCTTATATTTCACACTGAGAGACTGACATTTTTGTAAGAGACAGTCCTGTGGCCATAAAGAAGCACAGTTCTGCCCTAGCATGGTCCAGACAGACAGATGTGAGAGTGGAGAAATATTTTTGTCCCATCGCCTGCAATAAAATTCTTTAACAGTCTGCACAACTTGTACCTGCTTCACACAGGCATACGGAAATAATTCATCTAGGTGACTCTTTCCAGGACTGCAAGTTCTTGGAATCAGAAAATGAAAGGATCTGGAAAGGCAGGATCACACCTTCGAGCACAAACTGTACCACTAGCATGCACTAAATCAACCAGCCTGTGCATTTTTAATCAACACTGGCTACACTGGCAAGTATCTTTGATGGTTCTCAGGCTGTACATTACCCTTTAACAGCAATCAGTCAAATTTGCAACTTCTTAGTTCCATGAGTAATATGTGATACACAAAATGATCACATACACACACAAAAAAAATCCTTTGCCTTCTTAAGCAGTTTATAGCCTTTTACCATAAGTACTGTAAAGATCTACCATAGCATCAACCTATAAACACAGTAGAATATTCAGGAACACAAACTAGATACTGTTTAAACCACCTGAAAAAAAAAAAAAAAAAAAAAAAAAAAAAAAAAAAAAAAAAAAAAAATTGAGAAGGGAAGGAGACAGAAGTTTTCTCCATAAATAGGTGGAGATATCTCTTGTAAATAAGAAAAATCACTTTGAAGTGTTCCTGTCCTTTGAGAGAAAAAAGCAGGACATAAATATATCCTGACTTTTGTTTAAAGAGATAAAGGCCAAAATACCTGACTTTTTTTCTTTTAAATTTTCAACAGCAACATGTTTTTAACATAAAAACATCAATCATCTTCTACTTTGTCTTTGGAAAAGAAACTGGAAGAAATTTTATGCAAATGATAAATTTACTTATACAATTTTGAATAAAAAATGAATAAAAAATGAAGTCCATAATGTACTAGCCACTTCCTTTCAGTGTGAAAAGAGCAAAATGAAATAACATAGACCAAAATGTTATGGGTAAATATAGTAAGTATTGCACATTCTCACTTTTAATCAATACTTTGCAAATACAGTCCTGACTTTTCCATAAACAAGTAGTTCAACTGAGTCACTGGTACTAACATAGTTGCTGTAATAGCTATCAGTAGCTCAAAACCAAGCTTTGTAAGCAAGCACTCTAAAAGTATATGCCTGTAGTCAAAAATCTCATCAGACTATACCAGAAAGTGAACATACTTGTCTTTTGTATATGCACATGTATGCCCTAAGAGGAATCCCAGGAAAAGCTGAAAGAAAAACGAATCAGCACATTCTTGATACTAACGCATTAGTATGTATTTTTTCCACTTGACTTCAAATTTCATTTGTGGACAAATAAGAATATAAATTTCATAAAAGAATTCTAATGCCAGGCTGTAATTCATAAAAATGGAAACAGAGTGATTACTGGTAGAAGTTTCAAAATTTATCTGCATTTAGTGAGAAATTTAGAGCAGTGTTTTGCCCTTAAACAAAGCAAATATTGGAGTGGGAGTGAGCAATAGGAGTGATTAACAAGCATTTTGAAGCTTTTCCTCTCTGTTGCTTTCATTACAGCAACTCAGATAAAATTAGAAAGGAATTGCTCCTATTTCCATGAATGATGTGTATATTTTTTTTGAGAGGAGTTTACAGTTTGTAAATATAAGGTCTCTCAGGTTTTGTTTCCTCCTGTCTTTGCTTATTGTCTGGGAAACAGAACCAGCACAAACAGTGACTCTCAGTTGAGTCTCATACAAAAACCCAGACTCAGAGAATATAGATGCTAACTTATTTTGAACTTTATTATACAGCTCTTTCAAAACTAGTTACCTAAGTGACTGTATTTAGCATGACTGTTCCTACAAGATTTGTATTATATTTCCCCCTTTCTCTCTAAAGAGAAATGAAGCTAAATATGTCACATTGCTTTCATTAATAGTAAGAGTAGCAGCTTTTAGTGTTTTAACCATAATTCTAGGCATGGCAAAGCATGAATGAAAAAGCAACAAAAATTACTATTAATTAAAACATGAAAGTCACTCCTTTTTAAGGTACTAAAAAAAAAAGATGAGTGACTAAAGATGAGTGACTATGAAAGCTGTATCTTCATGCTGGTTTTGTCTATTCATTTGTCTATTCATTTTAGTACTGTATGTACTACTGCAATATCTCAATGAGATTAAAGCCAAACAGCTAATGCTCAAATACTGTTTTATCTTCCTAAGATTCTTAATATCCTAGAAAACATGTAAACAGACTGCCATAAGATTTACTAATTTAGTCATGAGTGATTTGTAGATGATTTATGTTGTTTACAATGTCTCTGTCTACTTAGTAGGTTGTGCTTGGATAATGATGGAAAAAAGATCAACAGAATAAAGGTATTTCAGAGTATGCATGCAGCAATGCCACTCACCTGCCAGTGGAGGATTATATTCCAGATCAAACCAAGAGTCAGCTTATGATTTCCATCCACAATGTCCGAACTGCCAATATTTACCAAATCAACCTATTAAAGAACCAAATAATATTCATTATAGATGAATAGTGAACTATAATAATAAATTAAGGTTAGCTTCATATGTTTGGTGTTGACTTTATTGGGGGTAAGGGGATAAAAGGGGTGGGCTAGGAAATATCTCATTTGATTTCTACTGTTTGGTAAAAAAAAAAAATAAAATCATGTTTTATAAATGGGAGAATTAATGTGCTGGTAAAAAGCAAAGGATAGTGATCTGGAGTTCCAATTATTCCAGTTCAAATATTGTGAAAATATACCATTAACACAACAGTTAATAATAATTTCAAAATGTTTTATATTAAGTCTCTGCCATAAAAAAAAAACCACAAAACCAAAAGATGATAGAAAAACTCATATGCTGCATGCTTCACCTTGTTTACATAACATACTTTGTTGTAAATAACAACTCTGCAATAATGTACAGAACTAAGGTATTATTCTATATAATTAGATTAAAACAGAGCTTATTTTGCTCTTATTACATTTTCTAATACATAAATAAAAGCAGGACGTGTTGTAGAAGAGAGAAAACAGTGATTGTAAGCTAGGTAAGCCTTTTCCACATTACTTTGTTCAGTAATGCTGTCTTTCCAAAATTATATTATATATTTGCAAATTCATAATACATCTGCATTTGTCACCCTAGCATGTTCTTTCCTCCACATATGAAATAATCCTTTATCCTCTCCTGCTTTTTGTGTTACCTAGGTACGAATGCCAAACTGAGAGATGTGCAAGAAAGCGGAAGGTAAAACCTGCACGTTAGGATGCAGACTGTAACTCTAAAATTTGCATCCTCACTGTTTAATGGATGCAGTTTTTCATGATCAGAACTAAGATTTATAAACAAAGATTTACACAGTCACCAGTTTTCACCTCATTATGGTAAAATTATAGTCAGCATATCTCCACTGTACGTCTGAAGCTATTTGAAGTTATGTCTGTAGGACGACTAAAGACAACCCCAAAAAAAGCCTTTTCCTTTTAAAATTTCTATGCATCTATGGATAGGTCATTTTTACAAACCACATTCAAAGCTGACATACTGTCAAGAACCCTAAAAAATCTCTTAAGAACTAATTTCTTTAGAAATTAATCAAGTATTACTAGCAGCACATATGACTTGTGATTCCTTCCAGCAAGCAGTCTCTTGAAACGCTTCCCAAGTGGAACTTCGACTTCATATCCCAAATGTCAAATGACATCCAAATAATTGATCCACTAATAAGTTTATTAAGATACCACTTATGTATTCTGTTTTCAGAAATGGAAGCCTGAATTAATAGAGACTACATCTGTTTTATTAGCATAGAGGAACACTCCCCAGTTTGCCTCAGTTTTGTAGAATTCCATATTGGGGTAACCCCCCCACCACCAAAACATTATCACTTTTCCATAGAAAGGAAACCTGTTTGATGGATTCACTGGAAGCAGGAGCATTTCTCAGTCTGCTACAACCTAGCTAATTGCAGCAAGGAACCTTGGAGGAAGGATGGCATACGCCAGAAGATAAATCTAGATGAGTCAGAGATGTTTAATAGCCTTAGACCCATTGATCTTGCATTCCTGAAGTCCTACAGAAATCATTCTTGAAACAATTTTGAAGGTTGGGGAATCTATTTCAGAGGTAGATCTTTTGGCTTAATACTGATTTGATTCACAATATTCTGGATTGTTGATGAAATCTTCATATATGAAAAAAAAGATGACAAGCTAGATGGCTATCCTATTTTCTAAAAATATGATTTTTTTTTCGGTAATGTTCAATCAAAGCAAAAGTGCTTTACTTTTTTTCTGCATTTTAAAGGGACTATAGTGGCATTCTGGAAACTGAATGAATAGCAGATCAATTGTTTTAGCTGATATTTAGTAAATCAATATTTTTTAAAAGCACTTACCATGAAAATTTGTAATGGCACTCTAGAAATGCCACAGAAGTCTTGCATATTGACAAATAACCTATCAGTGATTTTTTAAAGTGGTATCAACTATTGCAAACACTGAAGAATTAGAAACTTTGTATTTTATTTACTTAAAATTCTGTTAAAACGAAATTCAAGCTAGAGCTCTTCATGCCAGTTTTGTAAGGTCACTTTCATTTATGCACAGATCTTCAGATGTATAAGCATTACCTTAGATTTATAAAATCGATGACTTTATTCAACAGCTGAACTCAAGCATGTTTGGTGACCTACTGCAGTTATCAAGAAATTCAATATAATATGCAGCACAGAATACATTATCATTGTTCCATCACGCCTTACTGTTAAGTTTAAACAAATGTTATTCTTACTTTAATTTATTCTTGAGGAAGAGATACAATATAATTAGGTGGCCACTGAGAAAGTCTAGTAAAGTTATGGGTCCATTAGAATGATTGCATAAGGAAGATATAGGAATATTTACTTCAATATTTCCAGCACAGAAAGTGGTTTTGATCTCATTTGTTTTCTTAATGCTATGACTTATAAGGAACAGATAGCAATGAAAATTTACCCCTAAATATTTATTAAAAAAAAAAAAAACAATTTTGAGTATTTCATAACACTCGAGAGTTTCATGAGTAGAAATTTTGACAGGTGGCTCCCCCTAACCAGCTACGGATGACTTCTTATCATTAACCTTTTAAAATATTTTAAATATCACACATTAAGAGAAGATTGTGCATGTTGATCAGTCTTCAAATAGCATTCATTATAGATATATTATTCAAGCATTTGCTGGCAGCAGGTGCAAAGTCTTTGAAACTCTTTGAAATATATTCCATTCTGGAGCGGGATCTGAAAGTACCTAAGTCACATTAATAAAACTGCCATGACTCCCCAAACTGTGCATTGTTGTCAGAGTTTGATTCAACAGTTACAAAGCAGTAAGCAAACTGTCTACAGGAGGTTCTGACCCTGTCCTGCTGATTACTTACATTATTTCTCTGCAAAACCTGTAGTGCTTTGTTGACATTATTCAGAGCATGAACTCTTGTGGAGCCTTTTTCTTTTGCCTGTAAAACAAATAGAGTACACTGTATATAATCCAAAAATGCATTAAACCCATAGTTTCATATTTCATACAATTATGATAGTACTAGTAAGGATATTATAATACATTGTACTTATGTAGCTTCTCAATATGAAGTAAGAATAATTATGAAACACACTGGATCTACAGTTGGAAGCTAATTTGGTGTCTCGACATTTTTCAGTGAATAAATGTAAATTTGTATACAAAATCAGATAAATGTAGGCTGTTTTGATTATAGTGAGTCTTCTGCTCTGTGACACAACTTAAGACCATTACTATGACAACCAAACAGATAAACATTGTATAATACTTACAAGCATATCCTCTCTGGGCTTTGACTCTCAAAGCTCTCAACCTGTTTCCTTACTCTTTTATGAGAAAATTTCACAAAAAGACTTCAAGCTTACAAAAGTCAAGCAGGAACACAAGCATTCAAACATGCTGAAACTGTCGTTTTCTCATTTACAGATTAGTAAGAGCAAACTCATCTGTCTTTTTTAGAAATGCTTCCACAGGCCCTCATCAAAGGAGGAATTTAATGAAGAACACTTAATCACTTGTAACAATGTCATGACTTCAATGTACAGTATACACATTCATATACACATACAAGTTTTTGGCCTGTAAGGCATTCCAGGAGCTCCAGAAGTCTTCGTCCATCTTGGAAATCATTAAAAAGATCTTCAATGCAACGTCTTCCAAACTGAAATAAAACAATGGCTCTAGTTAATACAAACCCCACAAAAATCCTGAAGCACTATTGCTAAAATTCTACTCAGAAAGCAACTGTCATACAAACCAATGTATTTCTTGTGTAAAAAGATTACTCTAATTAAATAATAAATGTAACAGGAATGTCACAAAGTAAATGTACATCTTTCATTCCCTCTTCAAATTATAATATTGCTATTCCAAATTACAATACTGCAAATCCAAAAATTTATAAATTGTGCACATCAATTCATGCTGTTAAGCCAGAACTAAATACTAACAAACTACTTCAGGATGAAAAGAGGAAATAAACAAACAAACAAGCAGAAAGATGTATCAAGTTATGTGCCTAGAAGCCTCCTTTGTATGAGGTAAAACAAACCTGGAATTCCAATAGAAAAGGTAAGTATTAGGCATTTTCTGTTGAGTATCTGCCAAACATATCTATCTTAACAGGACATACTTGGAATAGCATTGAATCATGGCATTATTACTGCAGGTGGCTACAACTCAATTCCCATTTTCAACACAACATCATCAACAGAAGAAAAGAAATAATTCAAATTTTCAGACTTATGACAATGAAAAAATGGTGATTTATTCTTTCTAAAATGAAAGTCAAGTTTCTGAGCTGGGGCTTTGGCTAATACATGAAGTTTTTAACAAGACAAATATAATTGCTATATACTTTATTCACTGTGTAACTTTTATGTGCAGCTATGAATTCTGGCATGCAGTGTTTTCATATATATCAGCTATTGAGAAGCAGAACAAAATTTTGAGATTATTTTGTCAGAGTCAAGTTGATTCTCCTGTCCCTATTATTTCTATTTTGGGAAGTTTCACAGATGTTTCCATTAATTTCAGAGTACTTTAGTTTGTGAGTACTGACACCACACTGACCTATACTGCAGCTATTCTGTTCCATCTTTCTCACAGAGTGGTGTAGAATCAGGAGTCCCTGTTATATGGAAACAACTTGCTTTTTGTCAACAGAGTTGTTCTATCACTACTTGTTGCAACACTCATTCGAGCTAGCTAGAACTTTATAAAAATTATTTTGTCATAAATTATCAGTTCCTTCAGAAGATTTCTTAATCAGAGGACAATTAATCTTGGTTACCAAGATCAAGCTTGGATATGCTGTCGTGACATTCTCGCTCTTCCAAGTTTTTTACTGTTCTGAGGTGGTAGCTCCTTTCTCCTCCCTCTTTCTTGGGTAAGACCTAGTTTCTGTTTCATGGAATAAACAGATCCAAAACATCAAAAATTGGTTGCAGCACTTGTCTCTGTGTTCTAGCCCACTTCCACAGTGTACTCCATCTAAGAGCTGATTTCTACCTATTACTTAGGCTGCCATTTGATTGCCACAAATATTTGAAAAACAGTACTGGAAGAGATTCAAGTATTATCTACTCACTCTGCTCAACCCTTTATGCAACTCAAGCATGCACAGTATCCCTAAAGTCATATTTTTAAAGTTGTACTTTATCTATATGGCACAAATATAAAATGCTGACATAGCGACTACGCTGAAATATAGTGGAGAAACTTTACTCTTTTTCCTGTGCTCTTGTAGAACTAAAGTCATTTTTGCAGAGAGGAGACATAAGAGCTAAGCACTTCTAAAGGAGCATTTTAACACCCTTGAGAAGGTTCAAGCAATCAATAGGTCTTACGTAGCACTCTGGAAGTATTCTGCCCCTAATATTAGTGAATCATTCGGGGAGAATGAGCACAGTGACATTTTGGTAATGGAATATAATTATATTGCTCTGTATCATAAGTGAGAAATAGAAGTAGCCTTCCCAACTGCCTGTGTCTGTCTGTCTTCCATTTTGTGCCATTTAAGCTATTCATAAAGTTTAGGTTGAAATATAAGCATAAAATTCTACTTGACAAAATAATGTAGGGTTTTTTTTCTTTTTTGGGTAAAGCTTTCAGAAAGGAAATAAAGCCACAGCATGGTAGCATTTCTAGCAGAACATTTTAATTACAAATAAATTACAAGTGAACGTTAAGACAAAAGTTGCCATTGATTTTGAGGGTCTTGGAAGTACACCTTTCATTAACCAATAACTAAAAATACCTTAAGACACAGTATGCTGCTGCCACACATTTCATCCCTAACTTGAAGAAGTTTGTTGTTGCTTTGACAGTTGGGAAATTAAGTCTTCTTTCTCAAATAGACTGAATATCTTCAGTGTACTAACACTGCACTAAATCTTCTGAAACAAAGGGCTTAAAGATGCAGCAAAGAAATTCAATACGTTTTCAAGGACATTCAAAAAACACATACTAAATTATACAAAGCTTGAGAAATAGTGAAAATATACATGGTTAGCAAATGGGTAGTCAAATAGATGTCAAATCCTTTAATATAAATACCCCTTATTTAAGATGGTTTTTAGGATATGACCTAAAACATACATACTTTTCTTAGAGAAAAATGAAAATGTTCAGAAGAATCTCCTGGGGTTTTACATACATTTTGATGACTTATCACTTTCCATAAATTATAAATGCAAGAAAGAGAAAAAGATAGAAATGTAAAACAGCTCTATGCTTGATTGTTGGATAATACTTCATTCTTAAATACTTCTAAAATGGAAGAAATGGGGAAAAGCAGGAATAGGATAGAACAGAGGCAGAACTGTAGATACTGCCCATAGGTCACAAGGAGACTTTTCTTTAGTAGGGTAGCAATTTCCCCAACAATTCTAATGGCAGCAATTTGAAGATAAGCTTAGTTTTATGGTACTAGTCTATATATATTGTCTGCACAAGGAAAACATTAGTCAAGTAGATCAGCAAAGGAATTATTGTCTCTCCCTTATTTGCTTACTTCAGGGAAAACAGCAATGGATACAAGGATTTGGGAAGTTTGGAGGGAGGTATGAGAAAGTGAGAAAAAAAAAAGAAGAATGAGAGAAAGTAATTGTAAAACTAAAGTAATGCAAAAATGGAAGTAGCATTTTTTCTGGAAATGAGATTGAGAAAGGAAATCTAAGATAGGAGTTTATATTTCTATAATGTTGGAATCTTCATGACTAGAGAGAATTTAAACACATCACAGTGTTTTAAGTCTTATTTTAACCTCCTGTCTTCCTGTTGTATAAAGGTCAAAATAAATACCATTATCTTGCTTTAGCTGTTATGACTGTTGGTGGCAATGATTAATCTTTACATAACACAAGAAAAGCTGAAGAAAAGCTAAGGTGTCTATTAAAACACACAAAAATTGTGACAAATGATGGATGAATTTAAACCTTCAACTCCAATAAGGACTATAGAGAATTCAGACCTGAGTTCTCAAAATACTTCCATTGTATCTCAGGAGAAATAAATAGATAAATAAATAAACTAACAAACAAACAAATAAAAGACACCTTGGCCAACTAAACAGGAATTACAGCATAACAGACATGTAGAATATGTCTTGGAATTACAGTGTAATAGACAATTAACATTTCAGGAAAACATGGCCACTTGCCATAGTATCTTCCCCAGATGTTATAAAGGAGTGAAACATGGGGTAGAGTATCCCATACATTAATGCAATTGCATGTATGTATTGTAGGATGCTCTCTGAATTATTTGGATTGAAATAATGTCCAAGTCTGAACTGAACCAGCCTTATAACAAAGAAGGTTACCTAAAAAGACAAAAGCAAATGGAAAAGACATTATAGAGAAAATCAGGAAACAGATGGGAAAAAAATATTGATAGATAAATGTAGTTGTGAACCTGTTGTGAATACATTTTACAATCTTATTATATCAAACTTCACTTAATTCATCCCACTGCTATCTATTATTTTCATTGCCACATTCCTGTATTCTTCTTACCAAAGACTCTTTTTATATCAGAAACTCTTCTAGTTAATAAATCATATTAAACAAGGAGATGATTTAATCATCATAAACATTATGAAAGTAGTATTACCAAAGCTTCACATAAAAAAACAGTATTTTCTGCAAAAGTCTGTCTGTTCGGTGTCACATGCCATTAATATATGAATATGATACTAAAAAAGAATGCCAAATAATTGAAAAATATCTTTCCCAAAGAAGATACAAAGACATCCGTTCATGAACACCTACTTTTGAGTGACTTATTTCATGGCACTCAAAAATTGTAAATCAAAGCTCTAAAATTTCTGAGATTAACAGAGATCTAACATCATTATCAAATATTACATTTTAGAATTAACTTGCACAGGATCTTTCTATGGCAAGATAGGACAAACAGCAGTGGGCTTATTTTATACTTCTGCTAGAAAGAAAGGAGGAGAAAAGAGGGGAAAGGAGGATAAAGGAAAGAGGGAAAGAGAAAGAAAGGAAGAGAAAGAATGGCAAGGGAAAGGAAGATAATAGCCTAATATAAAGGAAAATACATGATACAGAATTGTAACACAGCTATTAGAGGTTCTTTAACATACATACTTTTTTCCTGATATAAAACTGTCATATGGCATAAACCTTTTTTCATTTTTCATAAAAATTATAGAGGGTAAAAATTTGCCTGGGGGAGAAATCTCAGACTTTTCATTTTCCTCTCCAGACAAGTATACATTTAGATTACACTCTTCATTTGATGGTGGACTAGCCACGTAAGAGAATTATTTTAGTAAGACCGACATAGGATGCAATTTCCTAAGCAGTTATGCGATATTACTGGCTTATTATTATAAGCACAGCTCTGAAATTTAGCAACAAGAACTAGCAACAGAGTAAAGAAACAGAAACAGAACTAAAGGAGAAAAGATACTGTAAAGACAGAGAATTCAAGGTTAGGCATGATACACTAACCAGGGGATTTATGATTACATTAGACTTAACGAGGGAAAATCAGGTTACATCAAAACCAGTGGACCTAGAAGTCCTTCAGACTCCCAGGACAGTTATATAACTACAGCTGTAGCTTGAGACAAGACTTGGGCCTTGAAGATGGTCAATGAAAGCAGATGGCAGGGCTTGGAAGGCAGCTGGA